GGGGCTCGATCCCAGGACCCTGAGATCATGACCTGAGCCGAAGGCAGACGCTTAACGACTGAGCCACCCAGGCGCCCCTACCATGCACTTTTTAAAAAATTAGTTTTTAATTAGACAAGTAACAAGAATACATTGTCCTTGTAAAAAAGTAAAATGTGTGCAATATTGGCTAGTAGATCTGTCAAAAGTGGGCTTCTCTTCTAGTAGTCAGGGGCTAATTCAAGTCTTATCTTCCATTATGACCCAGAATGGTTCTTTTCATTAAAAGACTTAAAATTGAAACTTTAAAACAACAGAGATAGGACAAGGTCTCCTTTGGCCATTACCCCATTTCCAGGACACACAGCTGACACCTACCCTTCACCACCATCTTGACTTCTAATATCATAGATTACTTTCCAAGAGATGTTTTCAAATTAGGAAAACATATCAAAAAATTGATTTCCATCTTCTCTTGAATACTCAGTTCTGGCAACATTCACCTTGGCCTGGGTGCCCAGATACGGCACCCCTAGAATTTCCCCAGTTTGGCACAGTACTTGGTAACCCCTGGTGTCTAATTCCGGAAGCTTCTTCACCCATTGACAACACCCGCCTGGTCTCTAAAGACATCTGAATTTACAACTCCTAGTTGGCGAGTCCTCTCCTGACGCTATTAAGCAGTTTCTGGATTTTCCTTTAAAAAAGAAAAAAAAAAAATACTGCACCCAGCATTTCCATAGGGGTGTGTGTGTGTGTGTGTGTCTGAGAACACTGAAAACATATGCCCACACAAAACCTCGTACACAAATGTTCATAGCAGAAACGTTCATACGAGCCAAAGAATTCAAGCATCCATCAACCAATGAATGGGTAAACAAAATGTGACACATCCATACAATGGGGTATTATTTGGCCGTAAAAGGTAATGAAGTGCTGATTCATGCTGCGACGTGGATGAACCCCACACATATGATGCTAAGTGAAAGAAGCCAGTCATAAAAGACCACGTCTGTATGATTCCATTCATATGAGACGTTCAGAACAGGCAAATCCAGAGAGACGGATAGTAGGTTGGTTGCCGGGGGCTGTGGGGGAGAGGGTACTAATGGGTGCAGGATTTCTTTTGGGGGATGATGAAATGTTCTAAAATAAGGAGTGGTGATATTTGTTTGCACAACTCTGTAAATATACAACCACCAAATTGTGCACTCGAAATGAGTGAATTGGGTAAGTGAATTCTCTCTCCATAAAACTGTTACTTAAAAAAACAAACAATACTGCTATGAACATCCTTGAACACCCTCCTTTTGGGTTCTGGGATTGCTGGGCCATGGGGCCATTCTATTTTTCCATTTCTCCAGAGTGGCTAAACCAGTTATCTACATAAACAGTGTGATCATTGTTTCCTCAGACCATTAGCTACTTCCAATTTTGCCAAACTGATGGGTAAATGGAAATCATGGCATCTCTTTTTAATTTGTATCTCTTTTTAATTTCTATTTCCCTGGTTACCAGTTTTAGAATTTTTTTTTTATTGGTCATTTTTATTTTCGATGAACTATCTGTTCCTGTCCCTCACTCATTTTTTTATTGGGATGATTTTGATTAATTTGTAGTTTTTGATACATTCTCTATAGAAATACTTCGTTTTATACTCCGTGCATATTTTCTCATATACAAACTTTTTTTTAATTTTTTTTAAAGATTTTATTTATTTATTCGAGAGAGAGAGAATGAGAGATAGAGAGCACGAGAGGGAAAAGAGGGTCAGAGGGAGAAGCAGACTCCCCGCCGAGCAGGGAGCCCGATGTGGGACTCGATCCCGGGACTCCAGGATCATGACCTGAGCCGAAGGCAGTCGCTTAACCAACTGAGCCACCCAGGCGCCCTCATATACAAATTTTTAATGTATGTATAAAATACTCATTAGCAAGAGCCTGGCACATAATTAGTAAACAGGAACTATTTCTCATTTTTAATAGGTGAAAAGGCAAGAATTGGTAAAGGTGTATAGAGTCCACATATACCTACATTTTTAATAAGTTGACTTAATTACTCACATACTACTAGAACCACCACCAAAGAAAGTCGGGGCTCCAGTAGCTCTATTTCCTCAATTTTTCCTTCCTCCCTTCCCTCCCCTCCTTAGTCCTCCCCTCCCCTTGTCTCTTTACCTAGTCATTCATGGCAAAAACCACATTGGGTCTGAGAGGAGCTAGGCCATAACTAGTCCCTAGAAATTTGGTGGAAATTTGGTCCTTCTGGGACAGAGCCATGCTCACAGACCTCCTCTAACTACACAGAGATAGGAGAGCTTCTTTTCCATGCTTTTCAGAAAACACTTGGCAACAGAGTTGAACACCAAGCACAAGCCAAGTGCTCATCTCCTTAGTTTCATGGGTGTGTCCCACCAAGACAGGGAAGCAGATATTTACTTTTTTACTTCAGTTCCTGATCCGACCTCAGCAGATAAACACATAAACAGGGAACACAATCAACCAAGAATAATGAAATCAAAGTCAAAGAAAGAGCAATTTCCTTTCTAGTTCATGGCTCTCAAAAGCAGTTTAAAACCCGATTCCTGAGAGGCTGGCTTGCAGGCCGGTTCCTCCCCACCCGCTGCAGCTCTGGGAACCCAGCTGAGCACTGCCGGGGCCCAAAGAAAGCCACAGGCTTGTGCGGCTGAGAAAGCACAGGTGGTCGGGACCCTTTCCAACCAAGGACGGCCCCTATGCTGCAGCTGCATCAGCTCATGCTCCTTATCTCGAAGGATGCCCTGAACCCCAGACTTAAAAAAAACCACACACACACATGGGAATTTATTGGGCAGGCTGGTTTGGTCTGGTCTCCCAGGTCATGGTGTGCGGCCAGGAATAGAAGGGTAGACAAACCACAAGTTCAATTTCATCCCCACAAGTTCATCTTAGCCCGTTATTGCTCACTGTTCGCAGTTAAGTGTCTCTCATGCCTCACTTCTAGCCCAGGGGAGCTGTGTCATCATTTCCTTCCCAAACTAGTAAATGAGACCTCAAAGTAGATAGCTTCCATCGTGTGGAATGACAAAAACAGAGGGAAGCAGACAGACTTGTGGGGACGTCAGGGTGGAGGGAATAAGGTCGGCAGTGTTTCTGTTAAGACAAGTGCCTAGAATTGTATTCAAACTTCTTACCCCATCACTGCAGAACCACAAGGAACCCACTGCCGCTCAAAACATTGACTATGTTTTAAAAATAGTCCATAAAGTCTATAAGACTGTTTAGAAAAAGAATTTATTTGAACATATGAAAGGAAAATTTAGACCCCAATAAAACAGAGGAGCTCCTGGGCCGGACGGGCAGTCCTCGCGCAGCCCCCTGCCCGGCTCCCTGCCCGGCCCATGCCGGGGCCCAGCTTCGAGCTCACAGAGCTCCCAGGGACACCGGGTGGTGGGGCCGTCACATTCCCGCGCACAGATGCCAAAGGGACTTGCAAATGCTGCTCATCGCAGCTCTGCTCAGGGCAGCACGGGCTCCTGGCGCGTCTGAAACGACCCACAGACACCGGCTGGTGGAATCGGCGACTCGGCAGGACGCCCACGTGGCTGGGCGGGCGCCATCCATCCTTCCTTCCATGCCTCCCATCTGGACTTCTGCGATCGGGACCCGGCGGGGAGGGCCCCCGGACTGCGACGCCGCACAACTCCCGCACCAAGACACTCCTGCTGGGGACGAGGGACTGCCGGCTGCCCCCAAAAGGTCCTCTTCGATGGGGCAGCTCCCCCCTTCTCTGGAAGGCTTCCTCCGGCCCGGGCGGAGGGCACACTGTCCCTCGGCGGCACCGGGGCCGGTCTAGCGGATGGGCCTGAACGGGAAGGTCATGCCCGACATGAACGTGTGCCCCGGGTGCGTGGGCAGGGCGGGGTGGGCGGCGGGGTGGGCCGGCACAGCCCCGTAGCCCAGCGGGGGCGTGTGGATGTGAGGGTAGAAGCCGGGGGGCAGCGCCGCGTGTGGTGCCTGTTGCACAGGGCCCGAGATCACCAGCTGGAGCAGGCTGCGAATACAATGACAAGGGTTAGGCACATGGCGGCTGGGCTAGCCTGTCCCCTCGTGGACACGGCGCCCCCGGAAGGCAGAGGGGGCCTGGGCACGGCCGTGGCCTCACACATGCACAGCGACAGGCACCGGATGCAGGTACAGAACACGGAGGTTTCCAGAAGGGGGAAATCTGTCAACTTGGGGCAGATGGGGGTGGCTTGTAGGGGGGGTGGGCGAGCAGCAGGTAACCTGGAGGTGGCAGGATCGAGACCGCCCGAGACAGGAGAGAGGAGGGGCCGGCAGTTGGAAAAGTAGGACCCTGCAGGCGACAGTTCGAGGGGAGGGAACTGAGGAAACCACCGGGCAGGTGCCCAAGGCCAGGCGGGGACAGGACTGCGGGGGGGGGGGGGGGGGGGGGGCGGGGTCCGCACCAGGGCTTAAGAGTCCACGGAAGCTCTGTGCACAGCCTCAGCATCTGTGGCCTGGGTTCAGCCCCAACTACCTACACTTGTATGACCTTGCACGCGGCAAGCACACAGCAGCTCAGTGTTCTCAACCTCACTCGTCATGCCTGAGTCCCAACTGAACTGCAAGCACAGCCACATGAAAGCAGGCCTTTCAGAGACTCTGACATGAGCATGGGATAGGCCCTGCCCTCAGCACGGCCCAGGCCCAGGCCCAGCCCTTACCCACCTTTAGGGGCCACCTCCCCCCCCCCCCCCCCCGCAGAACTCCCAACCCTCCTGCTTCTTTGCTCCTTCACTTCTGGGGTGAGGGCCTTCTGAAGCCACTGTAGCCCTACGCATCACACCCCGGGTCTCCTCAGGAGGACCCCGTCACTCCTTCGCCAACTCCCTTCCACCCATAACCACCCCAAGCCCTGGGAGCCAGGCGCCCCCTCGGGTCTGTGCTCTCCTCTCTGTGGCTCAGGACATCCACGGCCTCAGCCTTCCTCCTGGAATCCCTTACGGTTTCCAATATTGGTCCCGTCCGAAACTCCCTGAAGAGTTCCTCTGATTTGTCCCATCCTCTCCAACCCCACATTCCCTCCCAGCAAGATCGGCAGATTCCTATTTTTCCTACCACCACGAGCTTCCCAGGCCTTAGCTGGCCCACATCCTACAGTCAAACCCAAATACCCCATCATGCCCTATTCGGAGAAACTTCTGCCCTCTCTTCTTCAGGACAGAGGCCTCCTTTCCCAGCCCTGCCTCTCCCCTTTCCCCCCTGAGGACAGACGGACTCTGCTCGTGCTCTCCAGCCACACCCCAGTGTCTCTGCAGTGTCTAAGCTGGTCTCTCCACACCACTAAATCTGCCTGCCAGGTCCCGTTCACGCCTATCACTCACCCTGAGGACTTCCTCATCCCACGAAGCCACACCTTCCCTGCACATGGCCCTGCCTGATCCAGGAACTTCAGGCCAGTTTGCCCTGGCTACTATCAGCCACTCACCTGGAGCTCTGAGAGTGGGGGCTAAGTCTTCTGCAGACTGACCCTAACCCCCTCCCAGCCCCTGAGTATAAAGTCTGGTGCTCAGAGCCCATAGGAGGGGCTCAGAAAGTAAACCAAGGGCACGAAGAGAGCTGGTGGCCTGAAGCTCTTCGGAGCCCCTTTTCATTGATGTTACCACTTTTTTATAACTTGGGATGAGAAAGTCACTCAAAATAAGCAAACAGAGAAATAAATCTAAGGAAGGTATTACAGAACCAAAATTTAAGTCATATAAGTTTGGCTGAATCTGCATACCCTGCCAGAGATAAAAGGGGTTTCAAGAGATTTCCAGTCTAGGGGCGCCTGGGTGGCTCAGTCGTTAAGCGTCTGCCTTCGGCTCAGGTCATGGTCCCGGGGTCCTGGGATCGAGCCCCGCGTCGGCTCCCTACTCCAAGGGAAGCCTGCTTCTCCCTCTCCCGCTCCCCCTGCTTGTGTTCCCTCTTGCTGTCTCTCTCTCTCTCAAATAAATAAAATCTTAAAAAAAAAAAGTTTCCAGTCTATTCAGAAAGACAATTAACAGAAAAGAGACTATCAGAAGTCAAAGAAGTTTTCCAAGTGGCTCCGTGTCCGGTCCTTCCCCGCGTCACTGCCAGGCTGCCCCTGGGAGGCCGCGTTTCGCGACGCCCGGGTCAGGAGGACAGGGCCCAGCTTAGGCTGTGAAGACGTTCCACGGGACTCCAATGCGCACCCCTGGTCATAACGCTAAGACGAGAAAGGACTTAGACCCTATACATGTTACTCTGAAACATTACATGTTAGATAACAGCTGTGCACAAAACAGGGAAATAGTACGGAGAGACTATTGCAAAAGGAGCAGAAAAATGCCAACTTAGTAACTATGTCCTGAGATGCCAGGGAATTTTTCTAGAGCCCACGGGGGAAAAAAAGAAAAAAAAAAAGGGACAGTGTGGGCTCCTGAGGGGCAGGTGGTGCTCTGGACAAGCTGTCCATTCTGCTGACAGAATACGTCAAGCAGGACCGTTCTGTTCCAGCAGGAGCCAGCACACTCCACCTATTTGGTTTCCAGATCGGCCCAGATACCCGCTGAAGCTGCCCTCCCGCCGCAGGGCCTGGCGCCGAGATCCCCAACCGTCCTTGGGCCGCAGCTACTCTTGCCATCAGCCCGTGGGCCGGCATCCGGCCGCTCCTCTGGCCTCAGGTGATGCGTGGTATCAGCCTGCCACACGTGCCCAGACTCGCCGGCCCCGGCAGAAGTGGCGGGCCAGGCCCTGGGCAGCTGTGGGCTCACCCTCTGCCAGCCCTGGAGCCCCAGCCCCTCTGTCCCCAATAAAGGCCAATGTGAGGGGTGCCTGGGTGGCTCAGTTGGTTAAGCGGCTGCCTTCAGCTCAGGTCATGATCCTGGAATCCCGGGATCTGGTTCCGCATCGGGCTCCCTGCTCAGCGGGGAGTCTGCTTCTCCCTCTGACCCTCTTCCCTCTCATGCTCTCTATCTCTCATTCTCTCTCTCTCAAATAAATAAAATAAAATCTTTAAAAAAAGAAAAAAAAAAAGGCCAATGTGAGCCTCAGAGGAAAGGAGAATGTTAGAAATCCTACCAACTTCACTTCACTGTTTCCTGTCCCTGTGCACACTAGGATGGGGTTCTGCGCTCAGCTACAAACACTTCCTCCCTTAGTCGCCACAATCGCTATTTGGAGTGGATACATAATTTCTGTCCTTCTGATGTATCACTCCTAAATTTACTAAGTATCTGCATGCTTTTGGACCATGAGGTTGCTTCTGGTATTTTGCTACTCATGATACTGCATTTGCCTGAAACGCTTCCGCACACACAGCTTTTGCTTCTTTTTTTTAAGATTTTATTTATTTATTTGAGAGAGAGAGAATGAGAGATAGAGAGCACAAGAGGGAAGAGGGTCAGAGGGAGAAGCAGACTCCCTACTGAGCAGGGAGCCTGATGTGGGACTCAATCCCGGGATTCCAGGATCATGACCTGAGCCGAAGGCAGTCATTTAACCAACTGAGCCACCCAGGCACCCAGCTTTTGCTTCTTAAGAGTCCGTGAAATTAATTAGATTAAGTGACATTCCTACGTTATGACAATAATAGTAAGCGGAACAGCAGCTAATACTTCTTAGATACTTGCTACACACCAAGTATGCAGCAAAAACACAAGAACACTGTTGCAAGCACTTTGTGTTTTTACTCTTGTCCTCACAAAAGTCCTACGAGGGGTGGAGGCAGGAGAGGCAGGGGGACGTGAGGCAGGTACGATTATTTTCTTGATTTTACAGACAAAACAAGGCAGTGGAAGATCAGGAAGCCGCCCGGAGTCATACAGAGAGCAAGCAGCCAGCCCGGACCTTTCCCCAGGAGCCATGTTCTTCACCACTGTTTGCACTGCTTCTCCCAAATGATGGCAATAAGCACCATTTACACTCAGAGTCCCGCGTGCCAGGGACCAGGACCTCATTTAATCCTCACTACAACCCTGTGACACGGGCGAATTATCCCCCCAGCTTTACCGGGGAGGAAACCGAGGCTCAGAGACAGGAGAAGCAACTGCCCATGCATCACAGAAAACCAGTGAGAATCATGCTCAGAACCCACTAAGTGCTGCCACCCATCGACAAAGCCTGAGGGACACACGCTGTGCCCTAGGGCCGCGGCTCGGCAGGATTTCCCAAAGGGCTGTGCCCCCCACACTGTCACCCACAATGTGTGTGCATGAACGTCGGAAGTCACCACGAACCATGTATGCCAATTTAGCAAGCGACTAAATGACTGTGAGCTGACTCTGGTTTCTTCCCTGGACTCCCAGACAATATGGCCGCACCTCTTTGATTTTTCTCTCCACCTGGGCTTTCTCTCATGTGGGTCATGCTATCCTATCCCCGACTTACGATCAGGTCCTGAGGGGGCTCCTTACATACAGAAGCTCTAGACCCTGCAGCCCAACTCTCCCCAAGGAGGCCAGGATAAGGGGTCCACTGCCAGCCCAGCCCAGCCCCAAGTCTGAGAGCACTTACTTATTATGGGGCAGCCTGGAGCACAAGGTTCTCAGGTCATCTGAAATCAAGGAGATACACAGTAAGGAACAGACTCGAAACAACAAGGTGAAATGCTCACTGAGTTCTTCTCAAGGATGCCGGCGAGATAGCGACAGCGTCCTAACTACATCTTCCTTAGCATCACTTAGAAACTGCGCTCTCTCTTCCTTCTATTCTTGCTTTAACAACTAGGCCCCAAACAGAATACAAGACTCAGGAAGGGAGGGAGGTCTATCCGCCATTTGTCAGATGGCTGGGAAAGGGCCAGAGGCAGGGCTCCCGCTGAGCAGATCAGCTGCCCAAGGCACTAAGTGGGAAACACATCACAGTGATGACCGCCTGGGGCCACAGGCGACGTCTTCAAGCCCACAGTCACTAAACCAGCAGAGGTGCCACTGGACACCAGGAGACTTCCAGCACTGACGTACAGGCGAATCACGGACCCAGAAACAGGTGCTGGGAACGCTTCATGCACTTGAACCCGTGCACTGTGTTGTATAGCTTATGCCTCAATAAAAAAGGGCTGCCGGAAAAGAAAAGATTCTCTACGAGGAAAGATGGTGAGGAGTCCCTGGTCCTGGGCAAAGCAGCCGGGAGACGCAAGACGTCACGGCTGGTGCTCTACCTGGGTCCGCTCTGCAACTTCACCCTGGTTCCGTGCTAAGAGGAAAGAGGTCGTAAGAGAGCAGAGAACAGCTATTCGTCCAGGACTCCCTGCTTTCCTGCGGGGCGGGTGGCGGCAGCCCCGCCCCCGGGGAGGGCCTGGGCCAGGGAGTCACCCACCTCTTGTACACAGCAGTGCTCCGGAGGCCATGGCCACCTGCAGAGCCTGAGCCAGCCGGTCCAGAGAGAGCTCGATCTCCTGGGAGGCGTTGAGGGGGTTCAGTTCATCTGCCAACCTGTTGATCTCCTCTACCAGCGGGACCATGTGGTCAAACAGGATGAGGCCCAGGCGCCCGTACAGATTCTTCTCGGTTAAGTGCACCTGGAGCATCATGAGGACCTGCAGGACGCTGAGGTGGAGTTTTGAGTACAGGAGGTGGGAGTCTCTGTCCATCCCTCCCAAGTCCTTTGTAACTTTGGTAGTGACGTGGCCATTAGACAGGGAGGGCTTCTTCTTCCTTTTATAAGCCAGAGGGGCCTTCACACACCAGCGGATCAATCCAGTGAGCGGGGTGAGCTCTAAAAATCCTATGGGGAGATTGGCTGCAATCGGAGTATTTAAAAAAGTGATGAGAATCAACCTCGGGTCCTCGAAAATCCAGCTGACAATCATTTCAAGCAAGTCCAACGGTGGGATGAGGTCATCTGCCAACAAAGACGCTTTAAGTCAGATGTGTTTGTAGCCCCAGTGACATAAGTGGATGGAGGGGAGATGGACCCCCTACGGGCACAGTACTCGGCACCTGACATTCAGACTATGTGCTCTGCTTATCTATTTTCTGTCCCCTTTCCGAGAACATCCCCTCCGTCAGGCCTGGGGCTCCCGTCTTAGTCAGATTCTCCCCAGAGCCAGGACTGTTTGGCCACAGTAGGGCTCGAAAACATATTTGTTAAATCAACAATTCCCTAGAACTCCACCACGTCTTGAAGTTCGTCCCCCGGGTCAATTTAAATTCCCACATGTTTTGTGGGAATTCTTTATGTCCCAAACTGCCACACCTCAGCCCTTCCCAGAGAGTAGGGTCTGTCCCTCTGCTGGTGTTTCCTCTGTGGCCCAGTGACGGCTACGGTGGCCTTCACAGAGCAGCTCAGGTGCGGTCAATGGTCAGTCGGCTGCCAAGAGCCATCTCAGCCCCAGATCTGGAATCTTTGTCTAAGCACAGCCTGACCTCCTGTGACCCTGGAGACCTGGCACATTCTACGGCCTAGACAGAGAACAATAAAAACAAATGTTGACGTTTATCTCAGGTTTACTATGTGCCAGGCACTGGTCTAAATCCTTTACACAGATCAACTCACTCCTCCAACAACGCACCTGTTATCGGGAGGAGGCGGCACGGGGTGATATTAAGTCACGTCGCCAGGACTCATGAAAAGGGTGTGATGGGCCCACATGTGGCCCCAGAGGGCCTGGCTCTGAAGCACTGGGCTGCACTGCCCCCTGGGACTGGCACACAACGCCCTGAAGTTGTCTACAAGCGTGGGAGTGGGTCCCCAGCCTCCTGTCTCTGGGGTTGTGCAGCCCTCAGCTCACGGAGAGCTAAGGATGGTGGGACCCCTTCCGGAATGCTGAAGCCAGAGCCATCATGAGATAGGAGTGTGGGGTGAGGGAGACACGTGTGGGCGGAGGCTCCTCTTTCTCCAGAGACATGGCCCTTCTTCCCTGAGATCATGCCTACCTACTGACTGGGTGTTCAACTGTGCCCTGCCCTTCTGTTATAAATGAGGCCAACAGTAGGTAGCCGCTGTCGTCCACGATCTTCACTTGGCAAAATAAACGGTGGGGGACTCCGCGTCTGGCCCCTCGAGCTCCGAGAGGTTTCTGTCTGAGGAATGCCAGTCTCATACCCGCGCGTCCAGAATACCACCCTCTCAACCGTCCCCCGCCACACACACATCGAAGCAGAGGGGTCTCCAAGAGCCTGAAAGCCCCACGTGCCTGGCGTACAGGGAGTGCGCGTGCTTGAGCGAATCACCTCCATGACCTTCCTATTCAAAGACCCAAGTTCTCTGCACCATTCGGGCAAGAGAAGGTTCTGTCTCCTGAGGTGAGCTGCTTCTGTCTTGTGATTTTGGAGGCACAGACTCCCCAGGAATGCTCTGTCACCAAGAGGAGATCAGTTACCATCCTGACTGTGGACTCCAGCTCCGCCTCCAGGGCTACCACCAGGCGCCCGGTGACCTCCCCATCTCCAAACTGACCAAGCTGGATATGTTAAAGATGCACAGCTTTTGGTACATCGATCATACCTCCATAAAGTGGTTGTAAAACAGTCACCAACACATCAGACGGGCAAAGTGGCTTAAAAGAAAAACACCAAGTCTCATATCCATTCTAGAATGCTGGCGGTATGCTCCGAACATTGCCGCCTTTTGCAGGATGTTTAATCTGTCCCAGGTAATTTCCGTCCTTGTTGGTCTGGAATAACTGATGGCTTGGAAAACCCACAGTGATGCTGTACAATGGGTTTAATGAAACCTTTCCTACGGGAAGACAGAGGGCCTGACTCCTGTCCCCAGCTAGGAACAGCTCTGAGGAAGCCTTTGCAGGAGAGCACCAGGGAACAGCCCACTCTAGCAGCAGGGCACCCACCACTCACACCTGCCTCCCAGCCCAGGGGCAAAACGCTGGGACAGAACCGGTTTGAAAGTACATGTGACTATGATATGCACTTCAGTGTTCACACTCTGTCCACATAAACTTTCCTAAGAGAACTAAAAAACTGAACAGCAGGGGAAAAAAGGTACAAATAAAAGGAGAATCAAATATAATCCCGGTGCTGCTGGACTGAACACAAATGGAAATGTTGCTGAAGGCTCTCCAGCTGCTGGTTTAGCTATCAGACCGGAATAAGAGACGATCTGTCAGCCCTCTGAGCGGCAAGACCTGAGGGCAAAGGAGGAGGAACTTGAAACAAGAGCAGGCTTGGAGTCCAGCTCTGCAGAAAAAGCGCTCACCACGGTGAGGCCCGAAACTTCCCCACGTGGAAATCCAGGACCAGAGCCCCTGTCCAGGGGCCGCACGGGCTGTGGGGCTCACACAAGGACACAGATGTGAAAGGACGCAATGTTCCACAAAGTGTTGTTTGTCAATCCCTGGTCCTTGAAACCCACCCCTGTGGGAGGCAAGCAGGCAGCAGAGCCTAGCGAGCGTGGGTCTGAGACTCCTGCTCTAATTCAACCAGAGCTAGTCAACCTGTATTGGTTTTCTTTATTCGGAGCCTTCATAAAACGATCTGACCAGAGGGCTCTGATGCTGGACAGAGGACAGGGGCTTCTCCCAGTTGAAGTCAAATGCTATCTATGGGCTGCCCTGAGGACTTCGCCTGGCATCTTCCAAAGAAAGCCTAAAAAACGTCACCATGGTAGAAGCGACAAGCGTGCCTCCTCGTGCAATATGCCCAGGACACATCATCGCCTAGGCAGGATTGTTGCCAAAAATGTTTAACTTGAATCTTGCATAAGGAAACAATCAGATAAATCTAAACTGAGGGGCATTCTGCAAAACAATAGGCCCGAGCCCTTCAAAAAACATCAATGTCCTAAGAGATTTTTTTAAATACTTCATCTGTTCAAGATTTAAAAAGACCAAAGTGACATGACAACTATGTATAATGTAGGATCCCCAATGGGATCCTGAACTCTCCTGACCCTTCAAAGCGGGGGAGGGAAAAGGCTATAAAAGACATTATTGAGACAATTAAGGAAATCTGAATATAGGCTATATAAGAAATAACAGAATTCCCTCGATATTTAATTTCTTAGGCGTGATAATGGTACCATGGGATACGTAAAGGAAAGCTCTTGTTCTTGGGGGAGAGATACGCGCTTAAGTACTTGGTACATGTACTTACTCAAAACAAACTCTCAAAAGTTCAGGAAAACCAAATACTTTGGAGTGTGTGTGAGAGGGGAAGAGGAAGAGAGAAAGGGAGAGAGAGAACATGGCAAGTGTTAACAGGGGGTGAATCTAGGTGAGAGTCTCCCAACTTATAACAGTCTCGAACCTTCCTGAAGTTTTGCTATTTTCCAAAATAAAAAATGAGGCATAAAAAAAAAGCAAGTCATGTCTGGGGAGAAACCACGTCTTCCCCAGACATCAGATGCCAGCGTTTTCAGCTTGCCTGCCACTCGGACCATCCCTGAGTCAGGCAAGTGGGAGGCACCAAGGAAAGCTCCCCTGCTGGCAAATTCCAGAAGTCCAGGTGGTCCCTTCCTTTCACTTTCAGCCTAAAAGAAAACACACATTTCAGACAAAAAAAAAAAAAAAAAAAGGCCAAAGCGACCACTGGGCATTTCACCTGGGTGTTCAGTGGAAATAAAAGTGGCAGTCGCCTAAGCTGCTTTAATGGCCTGTCTGGAGTTTACCTGAGGATAGGTCATACAGCGCGGTGACAGAGGTGATGAGCTGGCAGCAGAATCGAGGGCTGGCACTGAGTATCTGCTTCAGCGTCTGCACGGATCCTGGCACCAGACAGCAGTAGTCATCCACGAGGGCCCTGGCTAACCTCACGCAGTAGACCACAGGCGTCCGCTGGAAAGAAGCCACAGTCCACGTAACTACAGGTGTCATGAGCTAGCGGGCGACAACAACGTACGCATGGTGGAGACCATCAGAGTTGGCAACACCGCTCCCAAGAGGGGAAAAAGATGTTTGGAACTCAGTCCGAAGCCGGGCCCGGACAAACTACAGCCCACAGGCCCAATCCATCCTGCCGCCTGCTTTTTGCAAATAAACTTCAACTGAGACATGCATCTGCTCAGCTGTTTGCTTACTGTGTAAGGCTGCTCCCTACACTGCAAGGGCAGAGGCGAATGCTTGTGACAGACTGTATGATCCGCAGAACCTAAAGCATTTACTGTCTTGCCCTTCACAAAAAAGGCCTGCTGACTCTTGCTCTGAAGTTCACTTAGGAAAGGTAACTTCTGACTTCAGGCGACGAAGTGACAACTTTTGTGACCCTCCAGGTGAGACTCCAAAGGCAGAAATGAGCAGCTGGTACCACTTTAAAGAGCTTGCGGAGAGTTTGTGAGCACTCCTGTGATTCTAGAGCAGCGCTTCCTCACTTTGTCATCCTACCCTTACAGGTTTCCATAATACTTTCAAATCCCACGTCACCACCCTCCCCTGCCTTTTTCCTTCCCACTCAGAGGCCAATCTGTAGCTACTGCCACATTCCACAGCTGCTCAGAATGCTCCAGTTCTAGGGCCCCAACGTAGTCTATAGGGGGGTGGAGGCTGGGGAGAAATGCAAGGAGAGAGCAGGCCAGATTGTTCCCTCAGGCTAAAATCTGCCCCCACAACCTCCAACCAGCCATCCCCGCCTTCCCTAGTAGGAAGCTGCAGCCCCTTGCCCCGGTGTGGCAAATCCTGACTCAAACCACTAAGACCCTTTCCTGTCATTGACATCTACCTTTGCTTTGCAAAAAGCCAGCATGACAGCATTAGGAGAGAGAAATGGGAAATTACGTGATGAATTACAAGATGCTAAGCCTGACTTCTCTAGGTGATCAAAGGAGAGTGGTAACTGTAACATTAAATACAACACACATGATCAATTCAGATGCCCCAGAAATCAGACTGGTGAGAATTAAGGTAACAGATTCCACTGAGACTTACCTGTGTACCAGAGAGAATAATATATTTTTTTCTAGCCAAATTTTGAGGATAAACAGATTTCAAGGAAAACATCTACATAAATTAGGGAAACAAACCCAACACCAAAGGCTTCGAGTACTTGAGAATGAAGTAGGTTTGTGAAACTGAATGTGGTAAATTCTGTTAGCTTAGTTGAGAATCATGTTAATCTTAATTCTGAGTTAATAATTACTGGATTATCAATTTTTTAAAAACTCTGAGTAACCGAAAAGCAAAACAAAATGAACCTTTCAAAATACCATCTGACACAAAATCTACTGATATTCTTTGATATTTAAAAACACTTTAGAAGGCTCTTACATCCATATCCATTAGAAGAGCCATGATCTTTATAATGTCACCCTGGAACAATGCAAAACAACTGACGTGCTTACCGACCTAACCGTATAATTTAACTTACAGTGATCTTAAAATATATATATATATATATATAGGGCGCCTGGGTGGCTCAGATGGTTGAGCATCTGCCTTCAGCTCAGGTCGTGATCCCAGGGTCCTGGGATCGAGTCCCGCATCGGGCTCCCTGCTCAGAGGGAGCCTGCTTCTCCCTCTGCTTCTCTGTCTCTCATGAATAAATAAATAAAGTCTTTTTAAAAAAATACACACACACACACACACACACATCCTATCTCCGAGGCTGCATCATGCATAGGTGTTTTCAAAATACTACCTTATCATTTTCAACTAAGAAAAACGATTTTTCGCTTGTCCTGGAGATGAAGACTTTTTTTTTTCTTCTTAAATTCATTTACCATTACAAACTATGGTTTTGTCAGGAATGGGTACTACCTGTATCTAAATGTAGGTGTAGGGTATTAGCATACAGGGTAGTGACATCAAGGAGATAACACATAGAAAAGGTCTCTCCCGAAATCCAATTAAGGGAAAATTCCTGACACTAAACTCTTCAGAGACTCTCAGGAGAAGGCTATTAGAGAAGTACCTGGAGCCAGGAGGCTGCACACTCCAACACCGGGATTCGACACACAGCCACTGCCATGGACACCAGTTTTCCCAACAAGCTCATCCGGCTGTCATCAGCCTTGTTCCCTTGGGGGCTGAAAAGGGATGAGAAAATAATCTGCCGGACAGAGTCCTTGGTTTGCTCCTGGAAATAATTGCACATGATTTCAAGAAGTTGGAGCTCCTGAAGTGAATTCAACCTCTGTAAAACAAATCCAAGAGAAGCGATAAGACATTTAGCTTTAACGTGCGCTTTAATCCATACGGTAAGAAAACAGGAAATAACCTCTTTTCCCCCTGGGAACCGTTCACCCTTCTAAAGCCCGGGTCCCAGGGGGAAGAACTCGGTTAATCCCAGGAAATGTCACTATACAGAATTCGACATCATCCTGGGGCAGTCAGGATGATGACCTGCTGCGGTGTGAGACTCGATTACAGGCCTTTAACGTCTCTTCCGGCAGCACCACCGAGACCTGGGCTGTCGCACGCCCGGCACAGGCACACAGCTGAGCAATGCTCAGGAAGCCAGAGCAGGTGGATTGGGGCTGCTGCGAAGGAGCGCGGCCAAGGGCGAGAACAGAGCCGCTGATGGCAAGAGGGTCTGTGGCTGGCCAATGCTTGTCACCGCGAGGGGCGGAAAAAGGAGCGAGAGTTTCCTTCTGGCGGACGCGGGCATCCCGGCCGCCCGCCGCACCTTGGGCTGCGCGCCGCGCTCCTTGGGCACCTGGAACACGAACTCCTCGAGCAGCTCCACGGGGCCCTTGTCCACGATGGGCAGCGGCGCGCTCTGCAGCTGGCTGCTGAAGTAGATGTCCAGGTGGTACAGCACCTCCTTGGCGGCGCTCAGCGCGTCGCGGCGCAGCAGCGAGTGGCGGATGTCGCTCATGGTGCGGCCGCTGCGGCCCGGGGCGTCCGGAGCGCGTCGGCACTTCCGCCCCGGGCCCCGCGGGCGCGCCCGCCGCCGCCGAGACAAAGAGGCCGCGACCCGGCCTCCGCCCGCCAACCCCGGCGCCCGCCCACCCGCCGCCCGCCGCTCCCGCTCTGGCCTGCTCAGGGGGCCATCTTCGCCGCCGCCGCTGGCCAGCGGGCACCCGGCTGTGCAACTGCGGCGCCACCGAAGGCAGCGGGAGCCCGACGCCGCGGAGCCGAACGGCGGCGGAATGCCGGGCGCGGCGACGGCGGCCTGCAGGGGCCAAGCGTTGGCCGCGGCGAGGGCCGGCTCTCGGGAGGGCGCCACCTGGCGGCTCGGCCTGCCCGCGCGGAGGGAAGTACGCCCCGCCCCTCGGGCCCCGCCCCCGGGCCCCGCGACCGCCCTGGGACCTGGGGCCGAGCGCGTCCACCGTGGCGGAGCTGGGCCGCCGCGTCCACCACTGAGCGCTCACTGGGCTGTGCGCTCCACCCGCCCGCGCGCAGGCCGTGAAGCTCCCCTTGCTTCCTTTGCGCGGCGCTCCAAGTCTATTGATTTCACCGCACTTTTCCACCTGTAACAGAGCCGTGCTGCTGCAGTGACTTAGGTCTCGGCAGGCCGGCAGGCCGTGTCAAAGATTTTATCTAGTCTGGAACTCGGGGCTGCAGTAACAAATGATGCCTCCCGGACCCCGGCCTCCAAGTTTCTGTCCCCCTATTCGCCGGTCCCCTCCAGTGTGGCTGGCCATGGGAATCATAGGTATCCTGTTCCTGAAATCTGCCCCCTCCTAAAAACCCTCACCGCTTTCTATGAAGCTCTTCTGCATCCATCTCTTTGCACTGAATTAACGGGGCAGTGGCAGGATGGGGGCTCCGGGTGTTAGTCTGGAATTTTAAAAATAGGGCAGGAAAGACTTGAACATGGTCACAAGAGGCCAGTGCAGGGCAGGCAGAGGGCCACAAGCACAAGACTGGGCCTGTGTAAAAGGCCCATGCCGGCTACAAGGAGGGCCGGGGTGAGGGTGCTGGGCCTAAGGAGATGAAGAGCCAAGGCCTTACCCTGGGAGAGATGGAAAGGGCATCAAAGAGGGTAAAACCAGGCACAACCCCACCTCACTGAGGCTCTCCTGCACGTCAGGGGACACAGTCAAGGCCCCTCCTGTCAGAAGCCAAGAGTCTACAGTGGGAGACCAAGGTTAGCGGGAACCTCTGAGAAGTCATCTTTGATCCCTTTGGCACCAGGACTTGAGATATACTCTGTTTCAACAGGCTGAGGGAACAGAGGATGAACAAGGGGGAATTTGTACCACTGGATCTAGCATGGCAGCTGTAAGGATTAGGCACCCCTTCCTTAACCACTGAAAGCCGATTTATAAACATGCAGAAGCCAGATAAAAAGACCCCCGAAACCAAAACACACCACACCAATGCTTAGAAAGTAGCTATATGTATAAATAAATGTATACTATATTTAAGTGGCAGTAACACTTCCCGTTCTTAGATCTTCTTTCTCTCATAATGTGCAGTGGCAGGTAGGAAGATCTCCCTGAGGTTGCTCCAAAGCCCATGGGAGTGAATGTTCCGGTGGACCTGGGGCTCTGCTGATGGGGGCCGGGCCACGTGGGGGCAATGCTGACACCAGGCCCGGTCACCTCTGTACCACTCGTTAGTGGTCTGGTTGGTGGCAGCCAGGTACAAAGTAAAGCACAAGTAGCCCCCCAGGAGGAAGCTCAGCATGATGACAAAGCCCAGCATGAAGACAATCCTTGGGAAGGTCAGGAACAGGTACTGGGGGCAAAGAAAAAACAGCGTGTTAGGCAGCCAGGCTGGAACACAAGAAAGGGTCGCACCCGCCAGCCGCAGCCTCGTCTACAAACACGCAAGAGCTGCCCACCCAGCTCACCCACCTCCATACACATCTGACCACCTAAACACAAAACAGAACCATAAACGGCACTGACTAACAGCCCAGGAGGAAACCCGAATATGTACAAGAGTTTCAAGTGAGATAAATGAAACGTGTACATTGAAGGAAAAGGGAAAGGATACTCAGGAAAGGGTGCTTTCCCAGTTAGCTGTTTGTAAAACAAAGGCATAAATACAGATCTTAGTTTATGCATCAAAATAAAGTCCAGATGGACAGAGGAGATCAGTCTCTCTCTCAACACAACACGACCACAGAAATGCATGCACAAGAGTATTCACTGTAGTGATTTTAAGAGCCCCTCTTCCTAAAAGAAACACGTTAAAAGTCCATTCATGAGGAAGAGTAAAACCCTGGGATAGTCACACTCTGGAATAATAAGGAGCCGGTAAAAATGAGGTCAATTTCTACGTACTGATTTGGAAAGACACTGATAAAATATTGCTGGATGCGAAAGACAAGAGGCGAGGATCACAATGGGATCGTATTTGTGTAAAAACAAAAAGACTCCATGAAGGTGTGTGACTACATGAATGCACAGGAAAGAAGCCTGAAATGTACAACCAAACTACAGAAATAGTTGCCTCTGGGGAGTGAAGCTATTGGGAGGGGAGGGGGAGAACTCCCAGTTTTCTTCTCGTTTTTTTCTTTTGTTTTTTCTTAAGATTTTATTTATTTAGTTGACAGAGAGAAAGACAGCGAGAGAGGGAACACAATCAGGGGGAGTGGGAGAGGGAGAAGCAGGCTTCTCACTGAGCAGGGAGTCTGACGCAGGCCTAGATCCCAGGACCCTGGGATCATGACCTGAGCCAAAGGCAGACACTTAATGACTGAGCTACCCAGGCACCCCTCTTTTCATTTTTGTCTTAAGATGTTTTAAAATTTTATGCTTCTCCCCCCCAGCTTTACTGAGATATAATTGACAGGACATTGTGAAAGTTTAAGGTGTACAACATGACATACAGCAAATGATCACAAGCTTAGTTAATACATCCATCACCACACATAGTTACAGTGTTTTTTTTGTGCTGAGAACTTTTAAAACCCACTCTCTTAGCAACTGTCAAGTATAGAACACAGTATTGTTAACTATAGTCTCAGGCTGTACCTTACATCCCCAGGACTTACTCATCTTTCAAATATGAGTTTGTGCCTTTGACCACCTATGCCCACTTCCCCTGCTTCTCTGCCTTTTCATTTTAAACACTTCTGAACTGCTTGAATTTTTATGTTATTTTTTATAGTAAAGAAAATGAATTTTGAAAGAGGTATTTTTAAAAATACTTTATTTACTTGAGAGAGAGAGAGCACGAGTGGGGTGGGGCAGAGGGAGAAGGAGAAGCAGACTCTCCACTGAGCAGGGAGCCCGACAAGGTGGGGCTTGATCCCAGGACCCTGAGATCATGACCTGAGCTGAAGGCAGACACTTAACTGACTGAGCCACCCAGACACCGCAAGAGTTCAGTATTTTTGAAAGTCAGGAGTAAGAGAGAAGTAGATGCATCTCTTAACAGGGGAGACTTTCTAACTGAAGTTACAAAGAAAAGAGGTATATCTGATGAGAAAGGATGTCTAAATATTTTATACAAAAAAGATACACAAACAAAAAACAAATATAAGAATGAACTATCATTATTATATGATCTCAAATCAAAAGTAATTCTAGTATCAAATAGGTAAACAGTTAAAGGACGTAATTCATAAAAGATCTACAAATGACTGACAAACAAGAAAAGTAATAAAAAGTAATGAGGGGCGCCTGGGTGGCTTAGTTGGTTAAGCGACTGCCTTCAGCTCAGGTCATGATCCTGGAGTCCCGGGATCGAGTCCTGCATCGGGCTCCCTGCTCAGCAGGGAGTCTGCCTCTCCCTCTGACCCTCTTCCCTCTCATGCTATCTCTCATTCTCTCTCTCTCTCAAATAAATAAATAAAATCTTTAAAAAAAAATAGAAAGTAATGAAAGAAATGTAATTTTTAAAAAGGATACACTGTGGGGCGCCTGGGTGGCTCAGTCGTTAAGTGTCTGCCTTCGGCTCAGGTCATGATCCCAGGTCCTGGGATCGAGCCCTGCATCGGGCTCCCTGTTCAGCGGGAGGCCTGCTTCTCCCTCTCCCACTCCCCCTGCTTGTGTTCCTGCTCTCGCTCTCTCTCTGTCAAATAAATAAATAAAATCTTTAAAAAAATAAAAAAAATAAAAAATAAAAAGGATACACTGTATTTTCCTACCAAACTAGAAGCAACTGCTGCCACTGGGCATCCTCAGTGTCTGCTCTGACGCAAAATGGAACACTGACAAATCACTCTAGGCACAAAGTTTTAAAAAGCAATCTGACAATATATATTAAAATCAAAAGATTTATAAATGTCAATAATCTCTGATCCAGTACATACTTTTTTGGAATCTATCCTACAGAAAGTCGTAAGTACAAAAACAAAACCATATACACTGCAAAGGGGAAAATGCACTTTATCCATGGAGAGAGCTGGGTATCACTGGTCCTATGTTCTACGTGATGGGAAGCAACATGAAATACACATCCCTACCCAGGAAGCATTCTTGCCAAAAATAGTTAACCTGAATCTAATCAGGGCTCTAGAACTTCCAATTCACAGTAATATGAAGGAATAGAGGAAAACCAGTTGACAGAAGTAGGAAAAAGGCAAACTTAGAACAAGAGACATTCTAAAAGACAACTAAACTACTAAATGTCAATTTCATGATAAAAAGTGGGGGCATTATTTTAGACAGAGAGACTAAAAAGACAACATTCAAATGCAATGCCTAACAATGAAGTGTATTCTGGTTCAAGGAGGTAAAAAAGCTATAAAAGATACATTTGAAAAAGATGAAAAAAAAAAAGAGAAACTGGGGAAATTTGAATATGGACTAGATGATTTATTATATATTTATTACATATCTTATGTTTATTACATAGATTTATTATTACTTTTCTTAGGTGAGATAACATAATTATAGTTATATAGGAGAAGGTTGACATTCTTTAAAAATGCATGTTCAAGTATTTAGGGGCAAAGCAACATGATGTCCCCAATTTATGAGCCCAACATGGGGCTCGGTCCCACAACCCCGAGATCACAACCTGAGCAGAAATCAAGAATCGGATACTTAACCAACTAAACCACCCAGGCGCCCCATAACTGAAAAAAATTTTAAGAGCAAAACTACTCAAGGTTGAAACAACAAGGTTATCGCTACACACCTATCAGAATGGCTAAAATGAAAAATAGTGATAACATTAAGTGCTGACAAGGGTGCAGAGAAACCAGTTCCCCTCCCATTACTGGTGAAGATATATAATGGTACAAGCACTCTGGAAAAGAGTATGGCAGTCCTTTCCAAGACCTAAAATGGACTTATTTTTTTTTTTTAAGATTTTATTTATTTGAGAGAGAGAGAGAATGAGAGATAGAAAGCACGAGAGGGAAGAGGGTCAGAGGGAGAAGCAGACTCCCTGCTGAGCAGGAAGCCCGATGTGGGACTCGATCCCGGGACTCCAGGATCATGACCTGAGCCGAAGGCAGTCGCTTAACCAACTGAGCCACCCAGGCGCCCCTAAAATGGACTTATTATCAACCCAATGATCATAGTGAAGAAAGAACATCACACAGGAACTTGTAAATGGGAACGTTCAATGCAGCCTTTTGCAGGGTCCTTCAAAGGGTGAATGGTTAAACAAAGTGTGGAATACTATACAGCAGTAAAAAGGAAGGAACCCTAGATCCATGCAACCAGTCACATGGATCTCAAGGAAATTGCACTAGTGAAGAAACCAACCTCAAAAAGATACTGTATGGGGCGCCTGGGTGGCTCAGTTGGCTAAGCGACTGCCTTCAGCTCAGGTCATGATCCTGGAGTCCCAGGATCGAGTCCCGCACTGGGCTCCCAGCTCAGTGGGGAGTCTGCTTCTCCCTCTGACCTCTCTCTCTCTCTCATATAAATAAATAAAATCTTTACAAAAAAAAAGATACTGTATGATCCATTTATGTAACAACCATGAAATAACATAACCACAGAGGTGGAGGAGGGAATAGTGGTGCCAGGCATTAGGGATGTGGGGAGGAAGCTGTGGCTGTGAGGGGTAACAGCAGGAAGGCCCTGACGATGGGTAACAGAGCATGTTGACTGTAGCAGTGCTTGCACACAGCTGCACATGTGACGAACTGCACAGAGCTATACACACGCCACAAAGAAACACATGTGTAACTACTGAAATCTGAATTGGCTCTGGGGATTGTGCCAATGTCAATTGCTTGGTTTTGGCCATGAGCTGTGATTGTACGGGGATGTTGGAAGGGGGGAGGCACTTAAGAGCACATAGGCTTCCTGTGTGTTTCTTTGTAATCTCCTGTAAAACTATAATTATTTCAAAATAAATTTAAAAAAATACTGGCTTTAAGACTGTGTATTTTATCATATTAAGACAGTATCTTTCCATTCCTATTTTCTGAGTGCTTTTATTAGAATGGATGTTGAATTCTGTGAAACGCTTTTCAACATCTAGAGAAATAATCATGTCATTGTTCTATTTAATAATGTTGTATAAAATATTAATCAATTTCTTAATATTGAACCAACCTTGCATTTATGGACTACATGCCACTTGTTCATGGCATTTTATTTTCTTTGAAACCAAAGGAAAAAACCACTCAAGAAGTAAGCAGTTACCTAAAATAGTGACTGCTCATAAGCTATTTCCCATAAATGCAGTAGAAATCTTTTAGTCACCAAATGAGTTTTTAAAAGAACTCTACAGGGCGCCTGGGTGGCTCAGATGGTTAAGCATCTGCCTTCGGCTCAGGTCATGATCCCAGAGTCCTGGGATCGAGTCCCACATCGGGCTCCCTGCTCCTTGGGAGACTGCTTCTCCCTCTGCCTCTCTCTCTCTCTCTCTGTCTCTCATGAATAAATAAATAAAATCTTAAAAAAAAAAAGTTTATGAAAAAAATAAAAATAAAAAGAACTCTACATTATTGTACATTAATTTTTGACAAGGGTGCCAAAACAATTCAATGAGCAAAGAAGGGTCTTTTTAACAAAAGATGCTGGGACATCTGGATATCCACATACTAAAAGTATCAAGTTAGAGCCCAACCGTATAGCACATACAAAAATTGATTCAAGAAGGATCAAAGACCTAAATGTAAGAGCTAAATCTATAGGAATACTTAGAAGAATATATAAGTGTAAATCTTCATAATCTTGAATTAGGCAATGGATTCTTACATATGACACATATGGACGAACCTTGAACACATTATGCTAAGAAAAAGAAGCCAGTCCAAAAGGCCACAGATTGTACAATTCCATTTATGTGAAATGCCCAGAAAAGGCAAAACCATAAAAGACAGAAGGCAGATTAGTGGTTGCCAGGAAAGACGGGAATGGGGAATGACTGCTGATAGATAAGAGTTTATTTTGGGGGTGATGAAATGTTCTGAAATTAGATGGTGGTGGAGGTTAAACAACTCTGAACCACTAGACTGTACACTTTAAAAGGATGAATTTTAGGGGCGCCTGGTGGGCTTAGCAGGAAGAGCATGTGACTCTTGATCTTGGGGTCATGAGTTTAAGTCCCACACTGAGTATAAAGATTACTAAAAAAATAAATAAATAAACTTAAAAAGGATGAGTTTTATGGTATATGTATTATATATCAACTAAAAAAATTATATATTGGGGTGCCTGATTGGCTTAGTCGGTTAAGCATCCGACTCTTGATTTCAGCTCAGGTCATGATCTCAGGGTTGTGAGACTGAGCCCTGCATCGGGCTCCACACTCAGTGGGGAGTCTGCTTCAGATTCTCCCTCTGCCCCTCCCCTCGTTCACACGTGTGCACGCACATGCTCTCTTTCTCTCAAATAAAATCTTCAATAATTAAAAATTTAAAAATTATATGTTAATTTTTGAAAAAGGAACGGCTTCATCTTTTGACTAGGAAAATGTCCTTCTTCCAATTTTGAAACCTGAAGTCAGAAACATACACCCTACAACATAATTACCTGAATATTAATTACCTGAATAAGAAAGACAATGTCAATAACCTGGAAGTGTCCAAGGTCATCAACATAAGTCTCCAGATACAAGTCGGACACCACCACCAACTGGACCAAAAACACAGTGCTCACGACGGCCATGGTGGCCGCTGAGGCCGTCAATGTCAAGAGGTAGAGGAGGAAGTACCTGGCGTTCCAGGCCCCAATACAGTTGTTCACCCAAACACAGTGATGGTCAAAGCGGTGCACACACCTGTTACACACACCTGCACAAAAAGGGGAAAGCCACAAGCCTGAGTTAGTCCTTGATGGAACAATGAGACCAAGCACATCTGTGGATATTTTCACAAACTCTTGGCAGTATGAGCTGAAAGAAATGGCAGCTGCTATCACCAAGCCATTACAACCGAAGGGTCCAGTACAAGTGGCCATGAGCCACAGGTGGGTTATTAAGCCCTTGAAATGTGGCTACAAGAAAAATTTGAAAGAATACTCTGTTGATATTGATAAAATCAGGGTAGTTTTTCGATTTATGCAATGCTCCTTTAAGTTCAATGTGAGCAATACTTGAACAGACATAATTTTAAAACTGATGCTTTAAAGTCAAATCAATTCTTCTGATAAAGGTGAACCATATGTGGGCATTAAAGGACAATGATTTTTTGGTACGGATTCAGTTATTAAAAAGCGTGTAAGAATTTCTGAAATAACTTGGGTATGTGAATCTGCTCTTCCAACTGCAAATTTTGTGAAATCTAAATATAGATCAAGTATTTCCAAGGAAAATTTAGTGCTGAGATGTGCTGTAAATGGAAAATATATCCCAGATTTCAAAGACTTAGTAAGAAAAAGAGAATATAAACTATCCATGAATGATTTTTCATATTGACTACATATTAAGATATTTTAGATATGTTAGGTTAAATAAAATATATCATTAATGTTCCCTCATTTTACTTTTGTAATGTGGCTACTAGAAAATTTAAATCACATATGTGGCTCACATTATATTTTTGTTGGACCCCACTGGTCTAGAATCTTGGTTATTCCCCAGAAGAGTAGGCTCTGCCACGACTGAAATCTGCAAACACAACACGCCACAGAAATTCCTGTTGGGCAACATGGCCTGCCATGTGGCAAAGGAAGGGAGGGCTGTTATGCCCAGGGATGAGTTGCCCACTACACAAGAACATTAAGAGCCTCACCTCCAGGGGCGCCTGGGTGGTTCAGTCGGTTAAGCGGCTGCCTTCGGCTCAGGTCATGATCTCGGGGTCATGCGTTGGGCTTCCTGCTCAGCAGTAAGTCTGCTTCACCCTCTCCCTCTGCCCCTCCCCCACTTCTTCTTTCTAATAAATAAATAAAATTTTTAAAAAAAGAGCTCAACTGCAGTCATATGAAACAAACCACTCTCTGGCCTCTATGAGCAGTGGCTGCCCCCTGTCTGGGAGACAAATGGCCCTGCTTCTAGATTTCTGTAACATTCCCTTACTACAAGGCCCACATGTCTGCCATGCAAGGACAGAGCTGGAGGCACCAAAGCCAAACTTACTGCAGTGCTTGGATCGCGCCGGTTTCCTTAAATTGCAAGACGAGCACTTCATATTCTTTGAGAACATCACTTCGTCGAATTCATAAACTTGAAGAAACAATAACTCGTTTGCTTTTGTTACGGTACCTGAAAAACATAAGGACAAATGCCGGTTTCAAGCAATTCGGTGGACTGAACGTTCACAAAATCTGTCCTGAAAAAGTACAACTAAAACTTGCATATTTAATATTCTAAATAACTCATTTAAAAATAAATAGCTTTACTGAGATACAATTCATAAGCCCAATTCACCCATTTAAAGTGCACAATTCAACAGTTTTAGTATATTCAGAGTTAGGCAACCATCACTGCAATCAATTTTAGAACATTTTTATCACTTCAGAAAGAAACCCTTAGCAGTCACCCCCCATTTCTCTCGAATCCCAGCCCTTGGCAATCATTAATCTATTTTCTGTCTCCATGCATTTGCCTTGTTTGGATATTACTTATAAATGGAATCATACAACTTGTGGTCTTTTGTATCTGCCTTCTTTCACTTAGCATAGTTTTTCAAGATTCCTCTATGTTCTAGCACATATCACTCCTTCGTTCCTTCCTGTTGCCAAATACTGTTCCATTGAATAGGCACATCACATTCACCTATTCGTGAGTTGATGCATAGTTGGTGCTTCAAGGATAGAAAAGCTTAAACATAAAGGCATGGAAAAAAGATACCAAGCAAACATCAATCAAAAAAAGGGTAACGGGCACCTAGGTGGCTCAGTCGGTTAAGCATCCGACTCCTGCTATCAGCTCAGGTCATGATCTCAGGGTTGTGAGATCGAGCCTTGCGTTCAGCTCTGTGCTGGGCATAGAACCTGCTTAAGATTCTCTCTCCTTCTCCTTCTCCCTCTCCACTTCTTCCCCAACCGTCTCCCCCTCTTAAAAAAAAAAAAAAGTGTAATAATAACATCAGACAAAAGAGAATTGAGAGCAAAGAGCATTACTAGTGACAGAGGCTCATTATATTTTGAAAAAAGATTCAAGGAAAAGAGAATACCAATTCTAAACTTGAATGCATATAATACAAATATATACATAACTATTACATACACCTACACATACATACACATATATAATAGCTTCAAAATAAGTAAAGCCAAAACTGACTATAAGGAGAAACCTCAAATCTATCATCAGAATGAGATAACATACCTCTCTGTTATTGTAAACAAAAAAAAATTAGTGTGAATATAAAATATTTGAACATAATTAACAAACTTAATTTAATGGACTCACATGCTGTCCACACCCAAGAACTAAAAAATATATTACTTCCAAGCCCACACAGATCACTTACAAAAACAAAACATAACCGGGCATGATGCAAATATCAATAAAATTTTTGAAAGAAACAGTGCCATAGAGACCACAAACTATATAACACAATTAGTGAAAGTATCAAAACATAAAATCAAAAAGTACATAGAAAATTTTAAGCAGTTCTAAATAAGCCATGGGTCAAAGAAGAAAAAAATAAAATTAGAAGACAATCACAATGAGAAGATGATGAGAACACTGCGTATCACATCTTCTACAAAGTCCCCAGAGGGATCACTAGTCTGTAACACTGTAAGACGGACGGTTGAGTTGTTGCCAGTCTCCATACTGAGAGCCTCAACTTACCAGGATTGCTCACACAGCTGAGCATGAAAAACACGAGGTTTACAATCAGCAGCAGATAGGGCAGAAGAAGGTAATGCAGGGAGAACTCCAGCTCTTGACAGTAGTCAAATATTTCCCAGGTGTATTCACTGTAAACCATCCCTTGCAAGATGAGGTGCAGGAGAATAAAGGTGTGGTTTCTGAAAGGAAAAAGGCATGTGGCTTGTTCACAAGGCCTTCTCCATGAAGAAATCATGTCATACTAAAGTTAACCCAGGGCCAACCACTTCCTTTGGGCTTGAGATAATAGCAAGAATTACATAAGAGACAATATGAGACAGTTCTCACAGTGCCTCGCAACACTCGGTACTCGACAGATGTTATCTATTATTATTAACTTTTTTTTAGGATTTTAATTATTCCGAGAGAGAGCACAAGTGCATAAGAGCAGGGGGAGGGGCAGAGGAAGAGAATCTCAAGCAGACTCTGTGCTGAGCCAGGAGCTCAAAGTGGGGTTCAATCCCACAACCCCAAGATCATGACCTGAACCGAAATCAAGAGCTGAATGGTTCAACCAAATGAGCCACCCCCTGGTGCCCCTATTATCTTTTTTGGGGATTGAGGTATCAGGATATATCTCTTTTTATAGAAATGCATGTAATATTGCCACTCTTTAAATATTTCTATGAAAACTCCAGAAATAAAAGGCAGATTATTTATGAGCAGAAGTCCTGAACCCAGGACTCTTGATCCTTTCCAGCATCCTTCCCCGAACAATGGCTGGAAACCAACAAGGTTTGTTGCTGTCCCGAAGCTAGAGGACAGCAACAATTAATAAAACAGAAAAGAAGATAATATTTTTTTATTATTTTTTAAAGATTTAAATATAGAATTTATTTTTTTATTATTTTTTTTAAAGATTTTATTTATTTATTGAGAGAGAGAGTGCACGAGCAGGGGAAGGGGTGGAAAAGAGGGAGAGACAGAATCTTAAGCAGGCCCCCACACCCAGCAAGGAGCCTGACCTGGGAGTCAATCTCACGACCCTGAGATCATGACCTGAGCCGAAACCAAGAGTCGGTCGCTTAACCGACTGAGCCACCCAGACGCCCCCAAAAGAATAGTATTTAAACTCTGAAATATAAATACCGTGTATGGAAGAGGTAATGAAGCAATTTCAGCATTGTTCTCTGAAGGCATTCTGGAGTTATATAGGAAATTATCTAAAAGAGAAGGATTCAATGTCATTTCTCATTCCCCCCACTCCCAAACAAATTAGATGCTTCACTTTAGCCGGCGATCCTGGGAATTTGTGTTTCTGCGTACGGGCAGAGAAGAGATTTAAGAGAGAATAAAATGCAGGGTTTCCCTCAGCTAGTCTTCCTTTGATACCAGCTCCTCCCTTTCCACCCTAGCTCCAAAGAAAGCACCATGTTAGGGTCTTCAGGCAAAGGGAGGAGAGCAGAGGGGCTGGATTAGGTAATGTTAATGTGAACTCCACTCCTTTCCCTGCCTTGGGTTCAATCCTAGGTTCCAGAGTCCATCTGCAATCACTGGGCATTAGCCCAGGTCACTCCCAAGTCCATCCCTTCCCAAAGGCTGCTGACCCCAATTCTGCTCACTTTGACCCCTGAAGGAGTGTGGGCAGCCTGATGCTCAGCTCCCTAGTCATACAGCCCCCCGTTCCACCCATCAGGCCCCTCCAGGCAGACATTGCTCACATCCAGGCCGAAGTACAGGCATCAAATTCAAAGAAAAATAGCCAACCTTGAGAATGTTATCTTCTCTCAAAGCAACATAAGATTACTTTCAACATTAACAAAAAACAGAGACTTTTGAATGTACCATAACTACCATAAACGAAAGAAGTGAACAAATAATAAAAATGGCATCTCTTTTTTGTTCTGTCAGGGAACTGATGAGCCTTTTAGACTGGTGGTAGTCAAAATCCAGTGGTCTCCAAGCATCATTACCTGTGCTCCCCCTCTGACCAGGCCTTTCAGGTAATGGGTTTTTGAGCAGATGCATATTGTAACAACACCAATCAGCACCAGAGCCAGGTAGAACAAGAAGAGAACCAAGAAGTCCATCCTGGCGCTACAAAGAAACAGAAAGAGTGTGACTACTACTGAGGGATAGGTTCCATGGTGCATACTCTCAGACATTAACTCCATAAACAGCTTCCCAAACAGAATTCATCAGCCCTTATGCACACACTGCTTTGCACCGAGGCCTCCCAGATGGTCCTGAGTTCTCTCTTCTTCAAGAGTTTCCTAATCAAACCACTGTGATTTATTTAGGGCATCTCCTGCCTGCAAATTTCAAAATAAAATGGGGGAAAATATGCAGAATGCATACATCTTCCCTCCCACCAGCAACAAATCATCTTTGTACTTACTTAAATATAAACCCCCGTAGGTATTGATACAGAATGTACCCAAAAGAATCTGCTGACAATGCTACTGGAACAAGCATCCCCCAAAGGCAGTGGGGGGAGGGGGGACTCACTCCCACAACAATCGTGGATTACCCACGGGGATCAGAGTCAACACACAGGCCTATATTAACTAGAAACGGTTACTTTTGGCCTTAGCAGATAAGATTCCAGGCCGGACTTCCAACTGAGATAACCAAACTACAAACTATTCACGGGATAAGACAGAGGAAACAAACAGCAGCAATTCTCACGAGGTGATTCAGGGTCCCCAGCCTACGTATTTCTCGTTTGGATAATTTTCTACCCGCAGCTCGGACGGACATTCCTCCTCCCAACATTCACGGAGAATTCAAACGGCATCTCCTCTTGTGCAGCGGCGTGTGCCTGGCACAACAGGTGCCACGAAAAGCTGCAGGAGGCATGGTTCTTCTAGAAGGCTGGATCTGGCTGCAGAGACATCGATAAATCACTCATACAATAAAACAGGGTGGGAGTCAGGGGCGGTATAAATTGTGAAAAATAATTTGAAAGTTGGGGGATGCTGAGATCCCGCGGGGTAAACGGGGTTATAGGATTTCGGGATGAAAAGCTAACTGGGAAGATTAAGCCAGGAGCCTTGGGTCCCAGTTTCTATCCCTAATCCCTGAGGTGCCCACGCTGGCCACCAGACAGAAAGGCTTATCCGAGGCCACACCATCTGAGGGTCCCTGCGGGTGGGCCTGGCCGGAGCTTTCTCCGGGGGCCGGGACCCTGGGTAGGGGACGGGATGCAGAAGGCGCAGAGGGGATACGGTGGGTGCCTGAGCACCCGGCGGGGTGGAGGTGGGGCTGCGACCCCCCCCCCCACACACACACACACGCAAGGTGGAACGGCGGATCAGACAAGGGAACAGACGCCCCTGGGCCAGCGGGTGTCAAAAAAACCCTCGGAGGCGGCCTTACCGCCGGGATGGCCAACCGCCAGCCGCTCCGAGGCGGCGCCTTCAGGGCGCTTCTTCAGACTTCCGGCGGGCCTGTGACGATAGCACGCGACGCTGGCAGCCAGTCCGGCTTCCGGCGGAAAGGGCGGGCGGAAAGGCGGGCGGCAGCTGGGGGCGGGGCTCGGGTCTGGTGTTAGCGTTCCGCTGATGTCTCTAGCTCCGCGCCTTGGCCTCTTCAGAAGGGGTGCTCGGGTCTGAGGACCGAAAATCGAGCCTTGGAGCACAGTTGCCAGAAAATCTTACAAAAAGACCGTCCTAAGTCAGTGCGGGCGTTGTAAAGCGGGCCGAGCCAAGCGGGGACCCTGGCTGGCCCATGGCGGGGACACCTGGGGCTCCTATACCGAGTCTTCGCGATGGGCAGGACTTGCTTTGCTTTCTGCTAACCACACCGTTGGGATCCGTCCGACCCCTTCCAGTGTCTTTGCTCCTGCTGTCTCGGAACAGCTCTGAACATCCCGCCCCTGGGAACAGTGACAATTGCTTGACTCCAAACCTGGAGAATAAGAAGGAAGGCTGTTTAATGATAGTTGAACCTGGGGTGAGAAGAGCTGCTTCCAAACATAGCATTGAGAAGTCCCCTGTGGGGTGTTCCTTTGTTCCGAACGCCTCTGAATCCGCGGAGACCAGTCTATTCTTGATGCCTCTGAAAATCTATCAGGCTTGTCTTCTCTTTGAGGGGAACCGTCTGATCTCCAAACACTGGCTTTCAAGCTCTTTTTTTTTTTTTTTTTTCTCTTTGCGACCTACCCCAGCTTCTTGATTCCTTCCCTTTTTCCTTTTTAAGAAACTTACAAGCTGGGCGCCTTCTGGTACATGGTGTGCAAAACCTTCATGAACTCGTGGACACAGAATTGAAAAAACAAAAGCCTGAAATCAGAAGCTGTGAGGCCACCAGGGAAGACTGTGGTTATGGATGGAACCTCATCCCACATCCAGAGTGGGCTGGATCACATCAGTGTCTCCAGCTGACTCATCACCCTGCTGATTAATTCTGAGCTGGTGGTTAAGTATTTTGGGTTACTTTTTTTTGGCTCATAAATGCAGAACTTTATTTTTATCCCCATTCATTTTTCTCGGGATGGTTTCAGTTGAGACTTAACTTTGAATCTGGGTTTGATCACCTATGGCATTTTGTGCTGGGTTGTCTAATTGTTTTTTAAATGTACACAAGTAATATAACAGTATGTTCTTGTAAAAAAAAAAAAAATCAAACTATACAAAACAGTTCCTTGAACACCACCCCCAAATCCCAGTCCCTTGACAAAATTAATCACTTATTTACTATGTGTCCTCCCAAAATTCTTTTATACATTTATTCATAAATATTCAACAAATATATATTGAGTACCCAGTATATGCCAGGCACTATTCTAGGCACAGGGAATACAGCAATAAAACAGAAAAATTCCTGAACTTTATAGTTTACATTCTAGTGTATATATACAAATATATAATTTGTTGTTGTTTGCAGAAATGGCATCATACATAATGGTCCTCCATCTTCCTTTTTTTTTTTTTTTCTTTTTCAGTCCTGGTGATCTTTCCACATGTGTATCTACTATATTGTTTTTACCTCATTATAGACATTTCATTACATAGCTAAGCCACAACTCATCTGCCAGGGCCCCACGTTCCACTACCTACAGGGGCTCTGCAGGTAGTAAGTAAAGTGACAACGTGGAGCAGATATATCTTGTTGTGAGCAGAAATAGCTATTTCCGCAGACCACAGGATTGTTAACTTGAATTCCAGTGTTTTTTGTTTTTTTTTTTTAAGATTTTATTTTAGAGACAGAGAAAGAGCAAGCAAGTGAGGGGAGAGGCAGAGGGAGAGAGAGAATCTCAAGCATACTTCAAGCTGAGGATAGAACCCGATGCGGGGCCAGTCCCAGGACCCTGAGATCATGACCTGAGCTGAAACCAAGAGTGGGACACTCAACCAACTGAGCCACCCAAGCACCCTTTGAATCCCAGTGTTTTAAGAGTATTTGAAAATCTGGATTTTTATAACGTAAATATAATTTTTGTAACGTTGGCAACTAATTCAGGATTTTTAATTTAATTTAATTTTTTAAAGATTTTATTTATTTGACAGAGACACAGCGAGAGAGGGAACACAAGCAGGGGGAGTGGGAGAGGGAGAAGCAGGCTTCCTGCCGAGCAGGGAGCCCAATGCGGGGCTCGATCCCAGGACCCTGGGATCATGACCTAAGCCAAAGGCAGACGCTTAACGCTTAACGCTGAGCTACCCAGGCACCCCTAATCCAGGATTTTAAAACACTGTTCAGACTAAGCAGAACATAACTGCAAGACAGATTTAGCCCAAGGGCCCAGTTTGCATTATAACTGTTCTATTACTCAACATTTCAGTTCATTTCAGTTTTTGCTATTACAAACAATGCTGCAGTGGAAATACCTGAATGAGGTTCATTACACACAAGTAAGTGTATTTTTCTAGGGCAGCCACATGAAATAGAATTCCCGAGCCAAAGAACATATAGGCATTTTAATTTTAATAAATGCTATTAAATTGCTCTTCAGCCACAAATGTTTGAGAGAGTCTGTCTCTCCAAACCCTTGCCAACATTTAACAGATCAGTTCCTTTAGTATTTACCATTCTGATGGATGAAATGACATTTTATTTATTTATTTGCTTAACAGACATTTACATAGTGATACCTGTGTTCCAGGTACTGTTCTAAGCACTTAAAAATTTTTAAGTATTTATCATTTAATCTTTAGAGGGACTCAGAGAAGTATTATTATTATTATTATACCACTTTTATAGATGAGGAAATAGAGGCACAGATAAGTTATATAATTTTCCTAGGAACATAGAACTAGAAAGTATTAGAGCCACGATTCAAACTCAGACCATTGGACTGAAACTCAGTTGGTGTTCTCAATTACTGTGCTGGGCTATCTTAGTTACCACTGGCCAGTTCCTAGTGATGAACATCTTACGTGCTTATTGGCCAATTATCTTTCCTCTATTGTGAGTTGCTTACAATTATCCTTTGCCATTTTTACTTGAGTTGTTTACCATTTTCTTGTTGCTTTCCAGTACTTACTTACATATTTTATGTATTTGTTAAGGTACGGGCTAGCTGCTTCTCTTAGTTTAGGTACCCCCCCCCCAAAAAAAAAGCAAACTCCAAGACAAGGATTTGGTATAAGTAGCTTGTTTTTGGAGATATTCCCAGGAAACAGGGTGAGGGATTGGGAAAGTGAGAGAGGAGTAGAAAGCCAAGAAAACAGATGTTGATGAGTAGAGGTGGCCGTTTGGGGCTCAGTCCCACGAGGGATCCTCTGACAGGCTCCATAGACTATGCCTCAGAACTGTTCCACTGAGAGACAAAGCAGCAGGAGTCTTCGCCCAACCACTCCTGGGGCAGTAACTCCCTAGTCTTTCTGGTCTGCCCACACAGAGGCCATCCCAGCCCCAAGCGGAGAACCCTCTCAGGCAGAGTCAGGAAACCATCAACATGTATCAGGTGACCTCTCTGGTGGGCTGTGGGGATATAGGCAGAACACCTACCATTTCTGTATGCTGTTGACAGAGAGATCCCCAAACACGATGGCTTTGATAGGAAAGAAGTCTATAGTCCAGAGGTAGTTGGCAGTCCAGCAGCAGTAGGCAGTTCTGTTCCAGGAGATCCACAAGATCACATGAGGACCCGGATTCTTCCTATCTTGTTCTCCATCACTAGGCACAAATTCCCAAACTTTCTCTGTACACAGCACCTTAAGTGTCTTAGAAATTTTTTCACAGCTCCTCAGCCAAAAGAACAATCCCTTCCATCAAATAAGGAGCTCTAAACAACTTTATAAATATTTATGCCCTAACAACTTAGCACCCCTGGCACAATTTATCATACTTTAAAATCAGATTGGAAACACCATTCTCATTTCTTGCTCAACGTAGATATTCCAGTGGCAATTGCTTCCTAAATCCATTCTCTCAAAGATGTGCTATCAGGAATTTAGTGATCTCACGTTGAAAATGTGAACTAGTTCAAGCTATCATGCCATGTACGACACAGGTGTAGCTTCATTTCCTCAAACTGTTAAGATATCCCACCGCTCCCCTCTGAGTTCACTGCGGCGCGCCCAGGCACTTTGTGCACAGTTTGGAGTCACAACACTAGGGTGGCGTCCTTGCCCCAAGGTCAACACTTTCGAGCCGCTGAGAAAGCTGAAAGAAGGAAAGGAAAGAAATGCTGTTTACCCTTGAAAATGGAACTTGTAGGTTGTACTTAGCTTTTCCTGCTCAGATCCCACCTGCAGGACCTTAGTCACATGGCCAAAGGGGAGCCGGGAAATGTAGCCTCTGGCTGTGTTGCCCTGTGTTCAGCTAACACTTGGTAGGTTATTACTAAAAGGTAGAAATAGATATTCTCTATCCCATTCTGAATATTAATCCTTTGTCTCTGACATGAATTCCAGGTATTTTCTTCTATACGTTACATATCTGTTAACTTGGCTCATGGTATCTTTGTCATACAGAGATTTTAAATTCTGAAATACATTTATCAGCCTTTTCTTTTGTGGCTTTTATTTTTTTTTAAGATTTTATTTATTTATTTGACAGAAAGAGACATAGCGAGAGAGGGAACACAAGCAAGGGGAGTGGGAGGGGGAGAAGCCGGCTTCCCACGGAGCAGGGAGCCCGATGCAGGGCTCGATCCCAGGACCCTGGGATCATGACCTGAGCCGAAGGCAGACGCTTAACGACTGAGCCACCCAGGCGCCCCTCTTCTGTGGCCTTAAAAAAAAAAATCTTACTTAAAAAGGTATTCTGGGGCGCCTGGGTGGCTCAGTTGGTTAAGCGACTGCCTTCGGCCCGGGTCATGATCGAATCCCACATCGGGCTCCCTGCTCCGTGGGAAGCCTGCTTCTCCCTCTTCCACTCCCCCTGCTTGTGTTCCCTCTCTCGCTGTGTCTCTCTCTGTCAAATAAATAAATAAAATATTTTTAAAAAGTAAAGAAGGGAAGGGGGACACTTAAAGTATGTAGCCAAGACAC